ACGATGGAGCTGAGGATAAAGTTGTGGATGCATGGACCCTCAGGACAGCCCTATTAGCTTCATTGAATGCAATGAGATTGTTAGAGCTCCAGTAGCACAACAAATCAAGGTCCTCTGGAGCACTGTAGAAAAGTGGTCACTATGAGGGGCAAATCTGAGATAATTGGTGTCGTCTGCAAAGAGTAGAATAGAGGGGAGGGAGACAGCATCAGGCATGTCATTTATATAGACCAGGAACAGTAGTGGACCCAAGATGCTCCCCTGGGAGACGCCTGAGATTACTGGTAAAGCACCTGAGAGAGAGCCCCCAATAGACACCAGTTGTAACCTACCAGTAAGGTAGTTCATGAGCCAGTTCAGGAGAGTACCAGTGACACCAAAGGTCTGGAGCTTATTGATCAGTATAGGATGGCAGACACAGTCAAAAGCTTTACATAGATCCAGATGTACTACATCTGTACAGTGTTTGCTCGCTCTATTCGTATATATCTCTGACAGCATCTTCAGAAGCCATGCTCAACCCGCACACACAGTAATGGTGGCACATGGCCTCAAGTGGTGAAGAAAGCTTTAATTTTTCTCGACTTTTCAACAGTTTAGCATACATTTGTTAGGCTCTATTTGTTGCATACAAAAGTCTATTGAGTCCCTGATGTTTAAAGACTCTGGCTGCTGCTTCTGGAGAAGAGAGCCTCGTGTAAGCTCAAAAGATATGAATGTTTGGGCTATCATATCTTTAAAACGAAAGTTATTGGAGCAATTTATTACCTATTAATGAAAGATGAGCTTTTGTTTTATTGCTGCATTTGTCCTGCTGTTTTTTAGCTTTGACCAGAGATACATTTGTACCAACGACATTTGGCGTCACTGTGAGTTTTTTCTGCCTCAGAAAAGAAGAATCAATCATTTTCAAGACAGAGATTAACTTTTTCTCAATGATACATGTAGGTTCATTATAAGACTCTCCAGAATTTCACAACAAAGCAGTGTCAGCTCAAAAGTGGAATTTAAGCGAACACACAGACAGGACGACTGCTTTACCCTCGCTTCACGCCTACGTGTGGCTCTGGTAATAATGAAATGTACATGTATATTACATGCACCTATGATAGCCATCATAAACTTAATTTACAAATACAAGTACCTATAGGCGTAATGAATCACAAATAATTTTTCAAGACAACAAAACAGTGATCATAAAAAATACCACACATGCATGTGGTTTTTTTCGAGAGAATTATATTTAGCAAAATCTACTAAAAATCCCATTTGTAGATTTCAATTTCACAAATTCTACTACGTACCATGTGATTACAGTATTAAATTGATTTTCGTGGTTTTTATTTTTGCAAATCAAGAAGGAATCTACAAAATTTGCAACCCTAAAAAAACCACTTACATGTACAGTACAAGGCGAAAAAAAAGCTAAGTAGCATAAGTAGTACGCAGGTAGTGCGTAGGTAGTTATTTTACTTTGCTACTCTTTGCTGCGCTACGCTCAGGAAGTACTGCGGTACCGCCCAGTCACATGTTCTGCAGTACCAAGCGCTCACGCGCTCTAGAGGCTCTTAAAGGACTTGAGGATGCTTCTCTTGGCTGTCTGCGCTCTCCAAGTTCATCTCTACTGCCGCCCTCTACCTTTAGAAGGCCGTTTAGGAGGCTCTTCGCTCAAGTCACCATTGAGCTACTGTCCTTCTGCTGACCGCATGCACTACTACTACTGGTAAGTTTGCACAAGCGCAACAAAGGAGCAGCAAACTACCTACATACTGTACATGTAAAAGTAGACTAGCTACTTAGCTTTTTTTCGCACTGCACTGTACATGCATTATATTAAATGTACACACTGTACATGTGAATGTAACGGTTCCAACATCCAGGACATGTACATGTATGTACATATGTACATTTAAACTAACCTTGGCAGCTGTATGAACTACTCCAAATTATAACATTGCAAGCATCGCAAGAATGAGGCTTAGGTAAACTAAATGGAGCCCAACTGTGTCCCAACTGATCAACAATAGTGTCAGGCTAAACAAAAAAATATGCATTTTAAATTGAAGTTTTAAAATAATTAATGTCAAGCATCTATTCAAAATACATGTACATGTACAAGTAACCCAATCTAATACTATACACATACATGTACACATGTCCCATCATAAACATCCAAATAAAAATACACAGAAGAATTAAACATCAGTCATGTATATTGTACATGTACATGTAAGGTAGTGCATGTACATGTACATGTATACTTACAGATTAAGCATTTGCAGTAGCCTATAGTATGACAGGATAACAAAATTTCTGTAAATTATTCAACTTATCAGATACATGTACATGTAAGTACACATTATTACTCTTACATGATTGAGACTTATGTGCACATGTAACCATTACACTTTATAGTATCCTGACCATGTTGAGGAACATTTCAATAATACAATAGGTCAATTAGGTCAGGCATTACTACATGTTAGTATACATGCACATGTACTGTACGTGTAAATTTACACATACATTATGCTTGCTGATAGAAAAAGTTAGTTCTGTTTCTCTATGAGTTAATTGAGGGATGCATTTGTATACATTGCACATTAGTGCATTTTCTAATTGTGAAATATTATAGTGAGATGCAAAATTGCACATGTTTATGATAGCTGTCACCATACAAAAAACTGACTCTGACAAAACCCTAACAAACTCAAATACATGTACACCAAATTAAAACTTCACACAAGTACATGTACAATACATGTACAAACATGTAGGGAATTAGTATTAAAGGAGAGGAAGAAACTTAACCAAGACTGTAACGTGTCGAGATACATGTATCTGCAAGTGTACATTGTAAAATCCTGTATAATGCACAGTACATGTACATGCATTTTGGAGCATTACATGTACATGTACAATGAACGTGTGTATTCTATCCTTCAATTTGGCTAACAAAACACTAATGTATTTTATCATGCTAATTGTGTTGCTTTCATTATCTGTTACAATATATACGTGTACATGTAGCAGATAGGGCTGCAAGGCCATGCAAACAAGCCTCAATACTCAATAGGAGGCCCTGTTAAGCAGGTTAGGCATGATGACTGTTACATGGACAAACCCTTTAAGTTACTGTAAGTATACATGTAAATACATCAAAACAACTGCAATCATGTCTGGAACTATAGATACATGTACATGTAATACAGACACATGTTGCTAGGAAACAGGAAATACACATGTACAAAAATTTATACCAATGACATCGCTATTATAATGACTCACTATACAGCTGTGCCAATGCACATGTCATTAAATGAAGATAACTATAGTTTCTGAGGGGGTATAGTTTTAATTTAGGCTTGCTGCTAGGGCATAATTTTACAAAAACTTAAAAAGCCCCTATAAGTCATTTTACCGTTTTTGAGACACTAATGCTGCACTATACATACAAGTAAAACTAATTCAGTGAACCAATGCTTTGGAAGAATTTTCACAATGATGCAAACGTACATGTACATGTACATGATGTAGCTAAAATCTCTAATATTAATTCAGTTTAATCATTAAAGGCTGCACTAATTACCGTATAGCGGGTTTATTTTGAGGACAATAAATTTCGCAAATGACCCGCGTCCAGAAGTTTGCGGAATTAATTTTCACGAATTTCCACCATTCTGCCATCTTGTACCGTATTAAATTGATTTTCAAGGAATTTAATTTCGTGAATCGTGAAAAATCTGCGCAATTCACAAAATTTGTTATCCTCAAAAATAACCCACTATACGGTATAGTATTTTGAAGGCATTTTCATATGACCTATCACTCTTAACACTAGTTCCAAAAAACCAGCCAGAGAGCATTGATTAAAACAACATTTTATACTAACTAATTTGATGTGCTGTGCACTGACTATAACTATAATCACAAAGTCATAGCTGCATGCATTAATTTATTGCAATTTTTGTTACTATCATTTGCTAAATACATGTACATGCACTAAAACTCCCAAAGTGAGTTGACCAATAATTTGCCTTGATTGTGAAACTTTAATTTTTTGAGTAAACATTTCTTAAAATTTTTAATTTTAATGAGAATTAAAGATATATATGGAAAGGCTGCTAAGTCGTGGCAGCAATTTTGTTTCGGGGTGAATCCTACTTAGTAACGCTACCGCGTTACTAATTTTACAGCACAAATTGGTTTGCTGGAGTTTATAGCATAAATTATTGAAAGTTTCCTTCCAACAATGCATGTTGCATCTTACTAATTATGGGTGGGGTACGTTGGAATATTTTTGTCATCAAACATCTCATGAAATACACGCATGGTAACTTCCTGTTTCATACCAACATGTGTTTCAAATATTTACATGTACATAAATGCTGAACAAATCTACATGTACATGTAACCACACATGTACCCTCAAAAAATGAGGTCCATAGTCTATATTTACATTTACGTCTTGCTTTGCTCCTAGGCCAATTAAGTAAATAAGTGGTAAATTTGTGGAGGATTATTTGATGTAAAAGTGTAAAAATATATATACATGTATATCCCTAATTTAATTCATGTAATGATTATTAATGACTAATACTTTTGTCAAGTTTCAAGTATACAAAACACTTATGTCATGTAAAACACATTATTATGTAAAATGAATCAATCCTGCCGAAGTATTATTCGTGAGCATATCATGCAGGTATAACTATATGTGCATGGCCCCATCGATGGTTATTATACGTACCTGCTTGACCTCAACGCTAGATTCAAATGGGACAACTTCAGCGGCATCGTTTCCTTCTCCCGAGTGAAAATCGATAAAATGGGCTTGTAGTTTGTTAGAAGAATTAAAACTAACGAGACAGTAAGGGCATATAAAGCCTTCTGCCCCTTCATTCCACGTCGACATCTTGACCTCAACTAAAAACAAAAAACAGCCACGCCTCTTTAAAACACGCCTATAATTAATTATTTATTAATGGTAATTGAAAATTAATAATGACAATTATGATCATAAATTCTTTAGCATTGCTTGCAGTTTATCTATTGATAACTCATTCTTCTCAATTTTCTCCTAATTGTAAAATAATTCAATTACATATACATTATGTACTTCACATACCTCCTTATTTTGAAGGTCTATTGTTTCTCCAACAGGATCATAAGCATACTGAATACCTTCAGAAACTTTTAAATCCTGTTTAGTATCTCCAGAGTCTTCAACTATTGATATACCTTTAAAAATAACTCTATTAGCCCAAATGCTTAAAAAACAATATGCTAATGGACTATTGCAAGTACACACAGTGGTTATAGCAACCACTATGTGATTATAAAAAATTATAATTATTAGTGAGTGTGTCTATTATAAAGAAAAATTTACAAAGTAAGATACATGTAACTTCACGAGGCTCAACTAGCCTAATTCTTTGCAAATTTCTAAGGCATTGACCACAAAATGCCCCATTAGGCTGCTTGCAAAATAACTTCTTTAAGTACATACCATAAAACATCAGATGAAATTACAGTTCTATGTAAACTTCATGGTGCTACATGTACATGTATTTTTATCCAAAATTCACCCTTGTATTCATTTTTGATCATGGACAATAACAGGGGGTCAGCACTCCACAATGTGCTTCATTACCTTCATGCTTTACATTTAAGCAATGGCACAAAACATAAAACTAAACACTAACCCCATTCATTGCTTTCATGAACAATATCTTCAACAGGCACTTTTTCCATTTCTATAATTGAAGATTTCTTCTTCCCTGACTACAAAAACAAATTATATAGGTAAAAGCACATGTACATGCACATGCAAACATCAACCTGATACTCTTCCTGACGCTTCTGACAATGGCTATTTTGACAGTTAGGATTTGGTTTCATCACCATAGAAGGAAAATAATCCTTTAGTGCATTGTACCCAACATAATGGGTTACAACTCCAAACCGAAGCAAAAGCCTACAATTTTCATTAAAAAACAACAGTTTCTTTCATATACATGTACCTACTTCAGTGAATTTTGAACTAGAAGGCCTGCAACAATACCCATTGTAGTAGGAAGTGAAGCTGCACATACTCCATCCCTTTTTAATGTTTTTTCATCCACATTTGAAGCTACAATCAAAGGTGGAGCACACTTAACACAAACATTGAAAGTGGAAAATGTAATATAACTCACAGCAAAACATGCAGTTTCACCAGGGTTAATAAATTGAATATGACCAGAAACAGCATTTTCACTTACCCCACTTTCCAACCAAACCTAAATGTACAATGTGCATAGACGTATCATTATGTACCATAATAGAAACCTGATCCAATTCATTGCAAACTTGATTAATAGCCATACGTGCTTCAAAATTATCAACACAGCTTAAAACCAGATCAACTGGTTTGGAGCCACATAAATGTCCCTTTCTGTAATAAGACATACATGTACATGTACATGCAAAGGTGTTAATGATGTTGACAAGTTACCTTAACCTATCCATAAAATGACCAAAATTTTCAACTGTGGTTATATTATAGTTATGAACTTCAATTTCAACATCAGGATTTATTGCACTACAATAAAATAGTTTAACACACAATAGGTCCACATAACTGTGCAAAGCAATGGCATTCACACATGCATGAGAGGTTACATGTGCTATTCATGCACACAGTATCATAATTAAAGTACTTATACAAGAGTGCAGTATTAAGCCTGGTTTCTACAAACTTTTCCATTTTCAGTATTTGCATACAAGGATTGTAGGCACACCACAAAATCCATACAATAGCTCCAACTACATGTATAATGTAGTGTTGTTTTAGTTAACTATAACTAAAACTAAAAGCACTTTTAGTTTGGTCTTTTGACTTTTAGTTAACCAACTACATGTATAACTAACTAAAATGAAAAAAGAATTTCCTAAAACTAACTATAACTAACTAAGTTAATTATGCATAATTAAATGTACCTCATTTCATTGTCTGATTGCAACCTACAGCATGAGCAAATACAAGGCTGTTTTTGTTTTTTTATTATACATGTACCAATGATGTCACAACTTAAGTACATATATAGGTTATACACCGACTAGGAGAGATTAAAATAGTATGACGTATTTAAACTATATTCATTGGTATTTGAAGATATTCATTGGTGCTTTAAAGATATTCATGGGTGTTTAAAGATATTCATGGTATCATCACATGACTTACCACTGAAGATCAAAGAGCATGTGGCCCAGAGAGTAGTAGCCAGGCTAGCTATAAGCAAGGCTAGACTTATAGAATCTATGCTAAACTAGCCTCAATGAAGAGTCACAGACAGAGCTTATAGAGACGCTGAGACTCCTGAAGCAAGAGAAGCCAGGCTTACAGCAGCTAGAGCTCGTAGGGAGGCTGAGACTCCTGAAGAGAGAGAAGACTGACCGACTGAGCTCATAGAGACTCGGGTCTGTCGAAGAAGAGTTAGGCTCAATCCAGAAGAGCTAATGAGCCACTTGCTGATAGACATCACCACCTGGCAGCTGACAATAATAATTATATTGCTAATTCAATGTTGCTAATTCAATGTTTACTTGCTAAACAATTTCAACTTAAAATTTTTTGTTTACTGAGTTGGAGCATGCTCAGCAGGGAGACTATACGATTTTAATCCCTCATTCACTCATAAACATCAAAGGGAATTATTCATGATATAGCTTAAATGTATGTACCTTAGGGTAGCTTTAGCTGCTTCAACTTTCGATAGTCCTGACTGCTCAGGTCTAAAAAATAACCTATTCATATTTGCTAGCTCAACCTTGTCATAATCAAACAAAAGCAGCTAAGAATGGTTGAATTGAAATTAAAAAATACAGTACACATCATGTTTACCTTTCCTATACCACAACGAGCTAACATTTCTGCAGCCACACTTCCAACACCTCCTATGCCTACAATAACAACTACTCGCTCTCGTATCTCCTTCATAACAAAATAACAGCACCAATAATAGTATGATACTTACTTCATAATTATGTATGACTCCCATTTTCTTTAAAGCCATTAAACGACTAAAAGTTACAGAAAATAATTATACGTAGTACCGTATAAGTGGTTTTTTTCGAAGGTTACAAATTTCGCGAATTTCGCGGATTCCCTCGTGATTCGCGAAAATAAAATCCACGAAAATCAATTTAATACGGTACCCGCATGGCACACGTGGTAGAATTCGCGAAATTAAAATCTGCGAATTGGAATTTTAGCAGATTTCGCGAAATATAATTCCCTCGAAAAAAACCACTTATACGGTAGTTGAATTCACACATGTAAACACAAGAATATGAAGGGTTTTCTGATACAATAAAGTAAAAATGTATAACTATCTTTTAAAAATACAAATATGTGTGTGCTATATAGAGGTAAGTACATGTATATGTGTATGCTAAAATACATTGCCAATTTGAAAAGTTCTTGAAAAATAGCACAAGGGCCAAAGGCCTTCGTGCATTATTTTTCAATATCTCAAATTGGCAATATATTTTGCATAATAGACCAATAAATCATATTATAGACCTCTTTGGGTGAGAATGAATTATGTCAATAAATGATGTATGCCAAGGGGCATGAATGAGTCTGAATTGACTCTAAAATAATTTTCATGGATGGTGGGTTAATGCAGGAGCAAGCTGTAATAGAGAATATGTTTCATAAATGCACCAAATCACTTTTCATATATCATGCTTAGCACAGCATTAACAATTCTTTTCTCCATCTGCAACAAGCTTCTGCAGCATAGAAGCTACACGTACATTGTACATACAAGTAAAAAGAATCAGTTTTGGTCTTTCTTCATTCAACTACAAATTTTATACATGTAACTATGCAGCATAAACTGGAAACTGGTGATGTCACACTGACAGACTTTTTAATGGTGGAAGAGAACTACACAAGCTCTACTGCAAGTCTCCAAATGTATTATTTTGTACTTCATTACTACTAATGATGAGCAAGGGGTCTAGAGAGGTCATGAATGTTTTTTGTGACAGTGAAAACATACTTTTGCTGACGAAATTATCATTTTTCATGGTTCCATGTTTTATGAAATTGTCTAGGTAATTTGTCACAAATTAATGTAATACAGCAATCATCTTTTCCTTGTGTGGTCTATGGCTTGGATAATAGCCTAACCTCATGTCAAAAACTCCAAACTTCAATGTAGTTTTTTCCTTTTTTCAATTTTGGTTTTATCTAAAGATATGGGTTGAATAGATGGGCCTCTAAAACAGACATTAAGGCTTATACTACGCGCTTGTGATACTATAACTGTCCTATCCTCATGTTTAATCAAAGCAAGTTTTACAATGTAGGTTGAACAGATTTTACAATTATCACAAACAGTAAAAAAAGTACACTTTTTCTCATTCTACAGTACATCAAAACAAAGTATCACACCACATTTTAAACAATTATGAATGATGAAGTAAACCTACAGTAAAGTTTAAGCTATATATTAACTACACGTACCTTGGAGCTTGCTTTTAGCTACAAAATAATCAGTGGCGGAAGGAGAGATGATTACAAGGCCTGTCTACGCCCACTTAAATTGATTTGAATGGGATCACATGATAATTTTCCAATCCATGTTACATGTAATTATAAAATCTATAAATCAACCTCTATTGCATCTTGACATCCAAAAATGGCGGCAAATTATCACCCGTAAGTGCATGGATATCATAAAAGTAATGATAGTCATACTAGGCCACAATCAATCTCACCTATGGAGGTCTGTATAAAATATATTTTGAATATGAGAGTCATGGCCTTGAAAGCAGTCACCATTTTGAAATGTTCAGTTCAGTTGTACTTGCAGTGATAAGAGAAGGCAACTTTTTCTTATTGTTAGAGTTATTTGAAAAATTGTGGACCTGCGCATAGATAATTGGAGTAGAATGGTGTAAAAGTTAGTCTTGTAGCATTTACCAAAGATCATGATACCCTCCATTAACTGGATTGACAGGAGATAATGATGACTAAGACAAAAAAGTGAAATGAACAAAACAGCCAGTTTGCCAATTTTTGACTTTCCTCTTAGACAAGGTTTAGAGCTACGCTGCATGGTGATACCAATGAAGTCCTCTGGTCAAAATAAGGTCCTCTAAGTAAGCATAGGAGCTCGTTTTCCTGGTATAGCAAGGCTGCAAAAGTCGTGGCAGACATATTGTTTTGGGGTGAATCCTACTTAGTAACGCTACCGCATTACTAATAGGGACATTTTTACGTTGCATCATGTGGTAAGTATTGTATTTCATCACTTACTGTTGTAAAATAAGCTTTCTATTGCATTGAATACACAATAGCTTCACTATAAACAGAAATTTCTACTCATTTTTGCCTTGTCTCCCTCTCTAGGATACAGGTTCATTTGGCTTAATTTGGAATTGACACTGTTACAATCTAAATGGTTCAGCCCGTTGCTTAAGCTATGTATTCAGATCCATACAAGCTTTATCCTCCACCTTTCGAGACAAAATAGCTCGCAGACTCATTGATTTTTTCTCCCTCTCCTGCTTCAAGAAAGGATTTGTCTGAATTAAAGATTTTACTTTTGTTTAAAGATAATATTTATACATTGATTCAATGATAGTTGTTGTTATTATTTGTTTCTATTTTTAATTATGGCTATTTTTGTTTTCAATTGTACAGCACTTTACAGTAATGTAGATCTATAAACCAAGTTAATTTTTAAATAACTATTCATAACTAGTATAATAATAAGACGCGGAGTGTATTTCTGTTTCCAATCCCGTATACACAGTCTCTAATATCAATGCTAAAACATGGCACATATTTCTACTATTGCATACATGTACATGTACATGTAAATGGTGCACAATTAATTTTGATTAGCTGTCTAGTGTCTACTAATGCATGAATTTCAGGAAAAGACAAATAATGTAAAAGAAAGCAAAAAGCAGAGAACAAACTTCGCTCTGCTTACATTATGTTTCATAGCTGCAAGTTTTGCATGGTAGAATTAAGTTCCTAAGGGTTCATTTACTTTACTGTACCTTAATTGTGACTATGGTCATGCGGTAAAACAAAAATCTCATACAAAATTCAACCACAGTGTCTATAACTTATGCACAAAAACTACAAAAAACTACAAGTCTAATTTATGAATACAAAATAAGGGATTTTCTGGGAAAATACATGTACATTGTATATCATAAAATTCATCTTTTGATATTACCAAGAGAAGATTTACTTTTGACAATACTAAAAGTAGAAACAAAATAAAACCAGAAACAATCTCACAATGCAACTTTATTTTTGTTAAGAGTCCCTTAGTTATGTTAGGAGCCCCTAGTTAACTTAGGACTTCCCTACTGATGTTAGGAGAGTTTTTGTTTCTGTTTCTTGTTTCATTTCACTTCTACTTTAATGCTACTCCTATTTATAAGGAAAACTTTTTCCATTATTAATGACTTATACACCAAGACCGAGGTATATAACTGACTTCTACCATGCTATATCTACAGATAAAGAGACTTTTCTTAGCTACCAAAGGTTTATAAAAGCAAAGGGACTCACTCATGAAACAAGCGCTCCACTCCTGCACGCTCCATGTGTAAGTAGTAGAAACACCTCAAAACAAGCCTCTTTCAAAACAAGCACATGGCCTAGTTGAAAATGGAGTCTCTACCTTGGTCTCTAGCTTTATTGTATGTGAAAAGTTTGCTTTCTCTGGCAAAGTAATGCCTCGAGACACTTGCCCACAGTTCAGGGAGTTTTCAGGAACATCCACAAGGTAGAATAAGCAATTTTACTTACCTCCAATGTGGCAATCTGATTGGTCAATTGCAAATAGGCATGGTAAAATAAGAAATAATTTCATACACTCTAGATTAAAATTTTAATGAATAAATTACAATTAAAAAAATTAGATGGCGTCTGGTGATGATACCACGTGTCTGGCTCTTAAGGGAGTTTATTCCAAGCTTTATCAACTTGGGCTCTCATTTTCCTTAGCTGGAGAGCTACAAAGTCGCCGGCTCTCACTTAACTCATCTGTGTGAACTGTTAAGCAGACTAAGTCTGGTATTTCCGTTAGTCTTTTTTGGAAACAGTCTTTCAATTCGAAGAAGTTAAACAAGAAGAACAAAAAGAAGAAATCCTCTTCATCCTCTGTTGTTCAACACTCTAAAGGGGAACCTAAACTAAGTGCTGCCCCTCCTAGAACCAAAGTTTCCAATCAGGCTTTACCTGGTTCTTTGGCTACTGCTACAAGTAAGGCAGTAGACCTGTGCTCTTGTTCCTCTGTAGAGTACCATGTGAAAGAGGGGGTCCCAGGAGTTTCCTATACTAATGATACTGGGGAGACTGGCTGGACTCCAGTGAGGCAGGTCAGGCGTGGTCGTAGATTTCGCTCCAATATCCATCCCTCTGATTGTTCTGAAGATGGTTCTGACACGGAAACCGAGGATCTGATTATCGCACCTAATTCTAAAGTTACAATTCAAGTCAGAGACAATGTCCCTGGTCTTTTTGAAGCTTCTCCCAAAATAAAGATATGGACACCCATTGCAGCCAGGACCAGAACTCAAAGTCGTATTCAATGATTCTACATGTCCATATTCTCTCTCTCTTAGGATTTTTTATTTAAATCAGTTTAGTGATCTTTAAGGTATTAGGCTTTTACAGGCTCCTCGACTTGGATCATTGAGTCCTTCAAAGAAACTCTATACTATACTTACTTTATCCTTATCAATTCAGTTGTCGTCATCTTTGTAAAGTTCTTATTATTATTATCATTAAAACCCCAGGAAAACCTAAGGCTAACATAGTCGTATATTATCTATGTACGGTGCAAGGGGTCTGGCTGCATCAGACTAGAAATACCCATGGCCTATTAAATTAATAATGTAAAATATGTGCCTCCATCTACTAACAACTGACAGGGTAAACACCAGGGTAATGCCACATTAATTATTACAACAGGTAAAATACTAACCTGTAAGGATTACTATCAATAACTTCGGCTGTCATTTTCATCTTCGGACGAGAATTTGATGTTTTTAAACTCTGGATCTCTTTCTGAAGCACAGATACTTGGCTCCTTAACCGTTCCAACTCTCCACTATCATTTTCCATTTTTTCGCGGACACTCTTTGTTTGCTAGCGACCACACCTTTTCCGTTGCAAAATTGATGAATGAAGTCAGTGAAATTTGAAATCTAGCACTGGACAAGTCAGTATCATTGCTGATCATGCCTGTTGCTCTGGCCTGATCCAGCAGAACAGTACAGATATGTAGTCTATCATGATTGTATCGTAGCTGATTGTAAGATAAATCTTGACTGATAGCCTGGCTGATAGCCCAAAAATCCATGTCCATAATCTATGTCTGATATCACCAAGGCCTGATCAAGGTGATCATAATATTATATTTTGTGTAATCAACTAATCATGATGTAAGCACTTATATTCAATACGTATAATTTGTCACCATCTTTTTACAATCCCCTTTTGAATGGGCTACGTGAGTTGAGAAATGTTTGTACTTACTGTCTAACTGTTCTTATGATATCAAACTGCAAAAAACTGACTGTCAAAATGTACATTGTGTATTCCTCATTTTTTGGTAATTACATGGCTCATTAGTTACTTATTACGTAGTTCCTAACTAAAGTAGGATACCATACCGTACAATATAGTTTCAACAATTGTTGATCAACTAAGCTGAAAGTCTTTCAATTAAAGTATTCCTACCATCAACAATAAATACAGGCTCAGATATTAAAACACTTAATATTATTTACTTTTTCACTTGTAGTGAGCTGACTTATCATAATGCACAACTCATGAATTATTAATTGATTATTTTGTGTTACGTACATGTAAATGCATGTGGTATTAATATTGGATCCAGTGTTTGGGTGTCAGCTACAAAGAGACTAGCTAATTAAGATCCTGGAGAGCACTAACGCAAGCAACTTCCAGCTTGACTAGCCTATTGTAGCAACTTAAGGCGGATTTACAATATTACGCTAGTCCTGACGACTGACGTTACGTTGACACTGGAATAGAATCTGGTTCTATTCCAGCGGAAAGCATGCGTCAAAAGGTCAAATCACCCACGCTTTTGATTAAAATTGACGGTACGCTGGCCTAATTTCTTAATGTAAATCTGCCTTTATTGTTCTACACACCATAGATGCACTCTTGTTGTGTACTCATAGACTATCTGTATTCAATTAGAGGCTTGTGAAGTCACTTATTTTCATCCCTTTCATGTAACTCAAAAAACAGTACAATAAATAAAGCATATAATATAACCAAAAACAGTGACAACATATCAATAACAAATTAATATTCCTATCAAAAGAAAACAATCATTGACAATTAGAGTGCTTTAATTATGGCATTATTCACAATTGTTACTCTATACCGGGTATCTATAGTCCCATTTCTTTTCTTAGTTAATAGTAACAAAGAACAAAATCCTATTGCTATAGCAATGTATAACAAAGGATAAATGGAATTTTAATTATAGAAGCTTTAATTGCCAGCAAACTACCAGAAAACTTAATCTTTTTCAAAATATCAGTTGATTTCTTATATACATGTGTACATGCATCACTCAGCACTTTTCCTTACTATGAAACTAAATTACAGCAAATTGCTAAGACCTTACAAACCATTAGTTTTGCTATAACCAGACTATTCTGCAGCCTAATGAGGGGCTGGGCAATGGAAAGATTTAATGTAAATGAGGCTGGGCATGATCTAGATAAAAAAGAGGAGACTATCTAAACAATATTGTACGGGCTGTCAATTTGCAAGGTCTACATGGAAACATAGCTGTGCAATTTCCAACAGCAAAGCTCTTTGCATTCAGACGCTGTGTGACTAAACGAGATGTGAATGACTCTAGATCTATCCAGTAGTAACTCACAACAAAATTTTGTCATACAACAGAAGGATCCAACCACACAACATAAAAATCCAATAAAAAACTGGGACTTATTATGACTTTGGTACAGAAAATGAATGAAACATTGTCCGATCATGTTGATGTAGAATCTAATGAATGTTTTGAAGTAACTGCTGCAAGTTTTACAGAATGATGACATCTTATTCAAGGTGGATTGTAAGCATTACTATTCAAACAACAAAAAATACTCAATAAAGACATAAAGGAAAGCAAGTGATGAAAACTGGGCAAGTCTATTTGTGTACCAATCAAAATTATTACCTCCAAAAATTCCAAAAAATTAAGCATTACATCTAGAAGGGATAAACCACGCAATCATTATTGTTAGAATAGTCTCAAGCCAAGTGGTCATAAGCTTGACATCTTGACTGAACTGACTGACAATTGTGTTTACTAACTCGTTCATACCAGTTTTTTCAAGATTGGAAATGGCAAAAATACATGTATATAACTGCATCAATCAATGCTAAAAATGTGCATGTAAGTATAGGTCTGATTTGCATTACCGTATAGCTGGTTTATTTCGTGTGGAATTAATTTTTGTGCAGGCTCAAATCCACTAAAATTAATTCCACTAAATTTTATTAAAACCAATTAAATATTTAAAAAAATTTAGCAAGGCACTAAAATTAATTCTAATGAAAATTTAAGCAGTAAAAATTTGAGGCCACGAAATAAACCAGCTATACGGTAAACTGAATACCAGTGTCATTACACTTGAAACAGTGTTATGATACTCATTATTGCATAGGTGCAATTTGCATTAAAAGTAAATAAGACTGAAAATGATGGTTAAACCTATTTCCATCCTCACCCATGTATCAGAACAAAGTATTTTTGGTGTGATGATTGGAACATGAATTCTTTTGCAATTTCCTTGCCATACTGAAATCATCTTTAAAGCCTTGACGTCATAGAATTTATTTCAATTAAGCAATGAATGTAGCATGTTCTGCAACAAGCTCCAGAGCTTGAACAAATCATAGACAAGATACATGACTTATCTTCATAGTATCTGAAACAATAAACATACCATTGAGAAGAATGAATTCCATGTCTATAGTAAATATAATGTCTAACATACACAATTTAAATTATGATTCATAAATTAATAAGCCAGTTTTTTTAGTCATTTCTCTTTCTATTGACATGAAAAAAGGTCATACAGTCAATGTGACAAGCATATCCTGCACCAAGTTTTTTTTATCTATGACAAAGACAGGATTGAGAAGAGGTCTTTATAACAATAAAAAATAGAGAGCTTACTATTTTAAATAAATTTAAGACCTATGAGATGAGAATACATTTATCAGGCCTCTTAAACAATACAAAAACATTTATACTGTTCAGGAAATAAGTCACTCCAGAAATGCAAATGAAAAGGACAGGGCTGCACAGATTGTGATGTTAATAGGTAAACTTTGGTGTCAATTGCACAATAACTTCTTGTTTCAAATGCTTATAGCATTTTCGGCATCACTTGGCAGAGAATATATATGTCAGCATTAGCAGTTCCATTAAACTTCGATTAGTTTCAAAACTTAACATGCATACATAATATTAACTCTAAAAAGTTTTTATAATGTGCATAATATTATATTATTGTTTGAACAATTTTATCAAATTCTTATCTATAAGTCTGGCATTAGCTAGAGCTTGCGCTCCAACAACAGGATCTGTACTTGTAGGACTTGATACATTCATTGAACTTGAAGGATTGTCCCATTTACTCTTGCGTTTCTTTTGTGAATCTACAGTACATGCATATGTAAATATGACACAAAATAGCACATAGAAATGGACAGACAACTTTCAAATTTTAGCAATCAGCAAAATTCAACTTTTGTCCAAATGTCATAACTCATAAGCATAATTGTCATTGAGTATGAATATAAATTGCAAGTAAATTTTGGAGTGGGGCTATCAAATTGCCAATATTACAATTACATACATGTATGTTCAAGTCATTAATACTGTACTTTTTAGTCATAATAAAGAATAAAGTAAATTATCATTGTGTGTGCATGCACCTACTGTGTATACTGCTTTACATAAGCCACAAAATGCTTAACATACAGTGTACATGTACTACACTGTACTTTCCCTCTTATACTGTACCACACTATGCTCTCTTAACTATAATTATGTTCAGATATTACCATACAATTGTATACTAATTTAGACTAACAATGTTAGTGATACATGTATGTTACCTTGTGCAGTGGGTATAATTGTAGATGGCAGTGGTAACAAACCACCACCTGAATCCACTGGTTTAGTTGGAGCCAGAATTTTTGTTCCACTTTTGAACTCAATCTACACGTAATTCATAATAAAATATGGCAAAATACATTGAGGAGATACATACATTTCCTCGAGACTTTTGCTTGCTTTCATGAGCCTTTCTCTGAACTTCAACTAGTTTTTCATAAAACTCTTCTTTTTGAAATTCTTTTGGATCAAAACTTTTCTACTAGCAAATTAAAAGTACAAAATTCCTATTGACTAACTTTACTGTAATTAGATCCAAATTCTTCAATGTCACACATCTGTATTAGTTTTTCATAAATACTACAATGAAAAGTTAAAAATGTAATCACCATTACACACAACACACATTGTAGTACTTCATTACATGTCAGATGCAGGGTTAGTTATGCTCATTAAAACTCATTAAAACCCAAATAACGTCATTACAATAAGGCACTAAATTAAGGATACCAACAAGTTGTAGAGCCAACCTTGGATTTCTGAAGCTCTTTCCTTTAACTATTACATCATATGATGAAAATCCTAGTTGGCGCTTTGTTTCCATCAGGTGAAAAATTTTTTCCTATGCAAACAATATCATCGATAATTCAATATACATGTACCAGTAATTTTAAGTTTTACATTTACTTACTTGTAGTGCTTGAGAGCACACTCCTTCTGCCTGTTCTGGGGGCAATTTGACATCAGTTAAACAGAAAAAAAGATGATCTCCTGCAAATACATGAGCACTACAGTAAAGTCTCATGTACTAGTATACTTACAATTAAGAGCAACAAAAAGCAAATTTTAGCCAAGTACAAATTATCTACTATTATCATATATATGTACATGTTCTTTATAATGCAAATGAATTTGTTTGCAATAGGATTTTCAGTCCTTTGATTCAGTTACATGCAATGAAAATTGAATTTTTACATTAATAAAATAATTTAAATCATAATTACAGTATATACATGTACATGTGCATGGAAGAGGCCGTTTCATAAATGACATAAGTTTTTTAACGAATACAAAGGATTGGGTAAAAATGAAGGGATACATGCAACTTAAACAGTCTAAATACTCAGATACATGCACAATTGCACATAATGAATCTCTATCATAAAAATCATTAACTGTATAAGGTATACCAATATACACATGTAGATGCAGTACAATTGTAGATGTACACATAGTAATGATTTTGAACATACCATTAACAACATCTGGAGAACTAGCTTCATCTTCTTCACTCAACTGATGATCATCAGCAGCTTTCACTAAAGAAATGAGTGATTCTGGAATCGACTGTGGTAACTACATAACAACACAAAGAGAATAATAAAATTTACACCTACATGTAAATCAGTACTAAACTACACATCATATGAAGACAGATGCAAACTAGTTGCCTAAACCACTGTCATAGAAAATGCAATCCCACACAATGGGTCATTTTCCTAGTGTCAAAATCATGTAAATCCAGGGTTTTTCCAAAGACTTTTTGAAATTAGAAAAAGCCATAAAAAGGATACATGTACAGCGTTGCCCAATGAAAGAAATGCAACATTCATGGATAAGCTACAATGTATATTTCATTATCATGGCATGGCTTCCTGATATGCACAAAAAATGAATTGCATTCTTTTTCTGATCCTACCAAAGACAAGGTACATGTACATGCCTTAAAATTTCTACATGAAGGTACATGTATATGATCCTCTAAAGGGATCAAAACATTCAATATACATGTACATGCACATATTAATGAACATAAGACATATATGCAATTACATGCATGTATGAACTTATAAAGCTTCAGATTTTCTGATAATATGGCATTACATGTACATGTAGTTTGCTGTACATGCAGTCAAGCACACATTAAGGTGTTTGGTTTCCCCTTTACTAGTACTTTGCTTTCTTTTTTTAATATTTAATTATGAGGTTGAAATATCTTCTTAGTATTTGCTGCTCAGCCATAAGTCAATGTAGGATTTAACAAAAATTCAAACCTACACGAAGTAAAATACTTAATTGGAAATTAGACCTCACTGTATCTAAGCCTAAAGTGCTAAAAAACTACATTAAAATTTAATATCTGCATGCATCAACTACGCTTTAACTGCAATATTGCAGCTGTGCCTATTTTAGGGTTGGAACAAATGTTACAGTAATTGAATGTTCGTTAGTTTTTGTAATAACATTCAAATGTAATACAATGTACATAGGCATGTCAATAGGTGTGGTATGTACCACATCTACAGATAAACTACTAATCAACTTACACATGTATTTAGTAATAAAATCTGATGTACACATGTACTGTACATGTATAAATCATTAGACATTGAGCTATAGACTATACATGTACAGGGTCTTGCATGTTTAGAGTGAACTCAACAACAAACTATAACTTATAATTGTCAGAATGGCTAAGGCCACGAAGTGGCTGCAAGCTATTCTAGATTATATGAAGAAGGTGAAGTCGATCACATCAACTGTGTTTGGCCAGTTTTCTCAACTTACAGCTAATTTGTAGTTAAATAACTAATTTTTAATAACTTGGGTCCTCCCATACGCCCACTTGCCTCACTATATAAACCCCTGTAAACGCCATTTCCCTTGGCCTTTGATTAGCTCCTCCTTCCATTGGGAGGGTGGGTGTGGATAGTTGATGTGATCGACTTCACCTTCTTCATATAATCTAGAATAGCTTGCAGCCACTTCGTGGCCTTAGCCATTCTGACAATTATATTTCAGAAGGCTCAGTCTCACACATCAACTGTGTTGTTTGTAGCTTCTTCCAAGCTATTCTGGTCCTAATGCAGATGGCTCTTTCAAGAACCACTCAATCCCCTTCCATGATGAGGAGTTTTAAAGGAATGCCTCAGAGGTTCATTTCCATGTCTTCTAGTATAACCCACCCCTAGCCGCGGTTAAGCGCTAGACTAGGCATATATGAAAAGGAGTCAATCCTGTTTCTTCAAGAATACTTCCTAGCCACCCTGCAATAGAGCTGGATATACTTGCCTGGTGAGGTTTACATTTGTTTGGTTCTTCTAAATCAGATAGCCCATATAGCACCTCTCCTCACCCCTGTAATGTTTGCTTGTGAGAGGTCCCTTTCACTAGACGGCCTTGCCCAGGTTCATAAGGTTACTGACTTTAAGAGGAGATAGGAGTGTCTGATTCCCTGATAAACCAGATAAACTTAATGCCTTAGTAACTCCAAAGTATTGGTGTACCTAGGGAAGGGTGTCTCACGTTGCACACTTCTGGTCCACTGGTGGACCGTCCATGTATTCGTACATTGATGATATGGCTGATTTGTAGGCCCTGACAGGGTAATGCTCTAAATTTCTCCCTGAGATGCTTCCCACTACTAGTTGGGGTATTGCCGGGGTTGGCCGTCTCTGTTGCCATGTTCTGCTTGGACAGTAGGCGTTATTAAGGGTGAAAGTACACGTAGGAGGGAATATCATAATTGAAGTTTCCCTCCTGAGGTCACCAGAATTATACTTGTTCGTTGGCAATGGCACCCTCTTTCTCTATTATCCAAGGCTGGAGAAGAGGCCTCTGCCATTGAATAGACCTGGCAGCCAGCTGACACAGCGATGCCAATGGTTGGTTGACTTGATGCCAACAAGTTCCACTTCCACTGGGCCGTAGACCTAGTGTTCATCTTTGAAATACTGCGTGGATCCAGTTTCTAGTCTGATTGTTGATCCAATGTCTCCCATCTGGATTCTTATTCCAGGCAGGTCTCCGGATAAAGCCCCTGATTCTACAGTTCCCCTTGACTGTTGATGAACACACTAGACAGATGCTGTTGTGCTGTGTCCAGGCTACTCTCACAAAGGTTATAGGGGTACAGGCTGTTAGCAGTTCTATGGGCCACCAATTTATTGCTGTCCCTGTTGTGGCATTTCAACCCTCGAGGGGGAAAAGCTCCCCCTGTGCTCAGTGTGCTGGTGCCTTGGTGAGCCGCTCCCCGGCTCTTAAGTTCACCTGATGACTCGCCTGATGAGTCGTGCTGTTGAGACAGAGTCGTGCTGTTGAGACAGAGTCTCCGGCTAACTAGGTCGGCTCCGTTGCTGTCCTATCATTTTGTTTTCTTCTTTGGATCGATTAGGTTCCCATCACGTCAGTTTCTCCCATCTAACAGTTAATTATGGGGAGAGCTGTGCCTCGTAGTGTTGATCTACTCTCCTTTGAGCCATTTCGAGGTGTATCTGGTCTTTCGAGGGTGTGGCTAAGGACTGTCCCATATATAGCCCCACCTCGAGTTCAGCTAATTAACTAATGATAATAAATGGGCTCCGCCTAGGCTTAATTTCATCATAATAAGTATAATTGTTATTGCTGAGCTTATTATCTATTTAATATGCTATGCCTATTAATATGTTATTAATATACCATGCCTATTTAATTTTTAGCATTCACTATTTATCATTAAGGAGCCGGGGAGGCTCAGATTCTTTGTTATTAGTATGACCACAAATTTCTAGGTTTTTTTTTTTTTTTGGTTTAGATACCCATTGTATGGAGGGTGTAGTATCAGACCTAATGCCTGATTCCTAACTGTATCCCCAACTCTCATCCAAGAGCTGATATCGGCTTAAGGTCTTGGTAAAGACCCATGGGGCTAAGGCCAGGCCGAATGGGAGACAGTTAAGCTCAATGGCAAAGCCATTTGTCCCTGGATTAGGTACACAGCGGATAACCTCTGTATACCCTATATCCATAATGGGACAGGAATAGACATCCTTTAGACGTATCCCTACAAAGCCCATCAATTTCCGGGTCAGGGCCTTGGGGCTAGGAAGGGCAGTGACCCACCCACATGACTGATTAGCTCTTTCATCACCCCTCCTGAGAATTTTTGGGGAGGCTTTGAGGCTGGATGGGGTTCAGTTTCTGTACCCTTGTACTGTAACTCTTTTGGACCCACCGGTCCACTGTTATTATATTTACTTTGCCCCAGTTTGCTATTAAACTGATGTGCACTGGGCTAGGGGTGTGTGTATAGCAAGAGTGGATCCACTCTTGGTATTAGTGCCATCATACATTTGATTCTAAATCAGAAAAACTCTATTAAATTTACCATCAAACTTTTGGAAGTGCATTGTGCAACACAGTTCTGTTTATAGTTTAGACCCGTTCTCTTAGTGGGAATGACTAGGTCTTTCACCATGTCCACTGGGGACTCCTTTGTGGTGAGGGTGGCTTGGACCTCCGCCTCTACCTCGGCCTGATCCCCTCCCCAGGGGAGGGCCTCTATGAAGGAGTGGTCTTCTATATGAGGTACCACTTGTCTGGCCCTGGCTGTGTCTTGTAGGATGGGTAAGAGACTTCAGAGCAGAGACTTGGTCCAGAAATTCCTTAGCTCGGCGTGAAAAGTCTGGACCGAAGAGATTTGGAGCAACATCTCCAAATATGACATCGTCTTGTAACATAGGTATTAAATTTCTATTAATGGATGCTATCAGCTTTTCCCTTCTCAGGCGTGAAATTTTCGCGTTAGCATTTCCCAACAGTTCTGTAGCTGCCATCGACGCCTCTGTAACATCTTCCGCTGTCATCCCATCAATGTTCTCTAGGATGGAAGATATGGGAGCCAGAGCATCTAAGACAAATGTCTGGATCCGTGCTAGTTCTTTGTCAGCACTCCGGGCCACTTGGGGAGCAAGGGTCTTTATCACTGGGTCCATACGTGGTGTTCTTGTAGCTTCGACCTTGGGCAGTTTGTACCGGCCGCGGACCCGTTTCCTCATCTCATTCGACATGTTTCTTGTACATGAGCCAGTAAGCAGTCTGTGTGTGTCCTCCGACACCTCAATTAGTTGGCTGCTATCAACGTCTTCCTCCTCAGGATGGAGTTCTGAGTCCACTATATCCGCCCAAGAACGTTCTCCGCGTTCTCTTGAGCTTCTTCGAGTCCGGTCATCCTCGCGGGAAGACCTGGGGCTCCTAGAGCGGCTTCGAACTAGAGCTGATGTAATCATTTCTCTATCTTCTTTGTCTTTGTTCTTCTTCTTCAGGAGATCCACATCCTCTGTGATTGCCGATATCTTAGTGTTAATGTCGTTCACCTTTGACAGAACTTCTTCCAAAGACATGATTATAGGTTAGAGATAGTGACACGTGGCTAGTAGCTAGAGCTAAGAAAAAGGCCAAGGGAAATGGCGTTTACAGGGGTTTATATAGTGAGGCAAGTGGGCGTATGGGAGGACCCAAGTTATTAAAAATTAGTTATTTAACTACAAATTAGCTGTAAGTTGAGAAAACTGGCCAAACACAGTTGATGTGTGAGACTGAGCCTTCTGAAATATAATAATAATAGTCTGTCCGGGTTGACTTCAGGACAAAAAGAACTTGAATAACTCGGGCAGCACAGTTGCAAACTTAAAGATTTTGTTGTAGCACATTTACTTCACTGATGCACCTTGGCTGGTATAGTATGAAGTAAAATAGAAGAAGGACACATGGAAAATCAAGATTATACCAAACATCAAATGGTTGCTGCTTGCCATCAGTTTATTTAGTAGCCACATAACACTTGAGCCTGTCCTCCATTTTGCCATTTCCAGGAAAGACCACACCTTCATTATTAATAGTGAACGTCACTTTTAAAATGGTGGCTGTATGTGCTAAAGCGCAAAACAAGGAAAGAACTGACTAGCCAGACTTAGGAAATAATTTTGAATGTTTATAACTATTATTCTGTATCCAAGAAATCCAAAGTAAAAGAAGCTTATACTGTCTTTTTATTAATAATACAAAATTCTGCTTATGATGCAAAATTTCTTGTGGCTTCTTAGACCACTTAGCACCTACTTCTGATCCACTTAACATCTGAGCTCTATAATAACCACAATCATGGATAAATATAAGAGATCTGAAGTCAACATGGACGGACTATCATAACAATCCAATTCCATAATATGAATATGCAAACATTAATTCATTTCAGTTTTTAGAATGTTCAAATGCTAAACTTTTACATTTATCCGGCCTCTAGCTTATTTATAGTACAAACTAAAAAGGCATTTTTCATTTACACATACAGATTATAGGTTTACATATTTTACATGTACATGTAAATAAAGCTTGCATGTACGTATAGCACCATATCTTACAGTATACATGTATGTACTGCATGCATGTACTGTGCACATGTCTGTCTTAAATCACACACACTTTTAGTCTCTTCATGATACAAAATGTACAATACATGTACAGTATTACATGTACATGTACTGTATTTGCCTGATTAGAAGCCCAGCTTAAATAAACACCCATCCTTAAAATATTCTCACTATAGATGCACATATTTTAGCCAATTTAAGTACTCTCAACTTCAGATTGCTACAAATAGCTCAACTCTTGAAGCATAGTCTGGTAACCTACTTTTGGCAACTTTTTTTACACAAAATTTTCCCCCTTTTAATGAATAAACGCCAGGGAAATATGGTACTTTGGTAGCTCACAAAAACAATGACATCAACACTAAGCCTGATTATCCATTTCCTAATTAGATCAAGGGCCAAGCCCAATAAATATGCTTGTGTATATACATACACTGTACGTATAACAGTAACCAACTTACATTAGCATTATTATCATGCAATTCACTGTCATTTATTATTTCCATTTCTTCATCTTCATCTCCATATCCAACTAAGCCAATACATGTACTTGGAGCAGAGGAGATTCTTGGGGGAATGAAAGTGACAGGCGATGGTGGTTTCATATACTGACGAGATGGTATACCGAGTCCACTGGACACTACATGCACATGAATAAAAAAACATAATGTACATGTATATCATTTCCTAGCAGTATGTCATGTACAGTAAGTACAATGTAATTTCATCAACTTTCAATTGGTTTGTTATACAATGTACACTACTGCACATGTAACTTTATTAAAATTGAAAAATTAACAAAACAAGCGTACGTAACAGTAAAAAAAGTTCCTATATTTGTTTTCACCACCTTGCATGCATAGCTGGGAACTTATTAAGACTTATAGAAGTTTTCTCTATCTTCAAATGCTTCTAGAGAAGTCTTTAGACAGTGTCTCTATATCCTCTTGCTGTTAGAAAGCTCATAGCTTTATTCCATGTGTAAGCCACCATTTTGCTTGCCGTGGCCACACCCACTACATCAAGGAGCATGGGCGGATGGTTGTGAAGGCTTGTTATTTCTCCAATACAACGAAATGTAAGTGTTGACATACAAATATACTGTATATTGCAAGTGGGTGAAATCAATTATAGGAAGATCTGGGGGCTATGCCCCCAGGTCGTAAAAATAACAACACTTATAGTTATAACCTGATTCCTACCACTCAAAACATATGCATTTATACACGTATAGTGAAATTATAATCATTAAGGCAAGCGAACTTAAACACACAGTGGTAGTGATATATTTTCCACATTAAAACAAAAAAACCTTATGCTAAAAAGCTCTAGATGCTAAACTAGAGCACTAAAGTGAATACATTTACCACAATTACATGCACTGAACAACAATCTGATTAAGCGAAACCAATAGTAAAAGTTTTGTGACAGAAAAGAGGCTTCAGCAATCTGTACTGCTCAGTGGTGCAGCATTAAACAGGTGTGGCTGCAATGAAAATGTGGCTCAATCAATATGCTCCACTAGCACATACAACAATGGTGGCACATGGGCTCAGTAGAAAAAAGTTTTAGGTTTTCTTAACTTTTAAACAGTTTAGCATACATTTACTAGGCTCTATTTGTTGCATACAAACTTTTATCAAGTCCCTAAAGTTTAAAGACCCTGGCTGCTACTTCTGGATAAGAGAGCCTTGCGTAAACTCACAAGGTATGAAGTTTGGGCTGTCATGCATGTACATGCATCTTAAGATTGGAACAATTTCTTTTATGTTAATGGTTATGTTCTATTGTTTCATTTGTCCCGTTGCTCTTCTGCTCTAACTACACTGTACATACATGTACACGTATGTGAGAGCTGCAGTGGAACCGACTACATGTACATGTACATTTGTTGACTTTAATTGCCAGCTTCTTTTGCCATGAAAAAGATAAAGCAAGACGGAGGAATCAGGAGAATAATGTTTTCTGGGGTAGTGTTAATTGCATAGGCATATTTGGACCTGGACAAGCACGGGTTTTCCCAGGTGAAAATTTAAATCCATAATTACACGTGTATATTCATTGGCTATTGTATTATTGGATAAAGCCCTTACTTATCAGATTTTCTGCATGTACATGTACATGTATGTATACATTTAGGGGCATGAATAGGACGTGTGGCCAGGAGGCAGAGCCCCTCAATGTTTTAAATTCTGTCTAGTACAAAGCCATGAAGGTTGCTTAATTCAATCCCTGCTCAGTGACATGTGTGAGTCACATGATTAAGGAGTTTGCAACCTAGAAACCACTGTAAACAGTAGTGATGGGCAATTCCGAGTCTGGAGTATTCGATCCTTTGATTCCAAATGGAATCGTACTCGTATCAAAAGAAAAGTGGGAATCGTTTAAAACAATTCCAAATTAAGCCACACCCAACCACACCTTTTAATACTAATAATAGTTAATAAATCAGTAGTTAATACCTTAATTATTCATTATTATTGCATTTTTATTGCTCTAATTGATACCACATGGCTTTGCGCATGCGCAGATGTAGTACTCGGAATCGGTATTCAATTCCATCGATTCCAGTCTCAAAAGTATTCAAAATTGGAATCGAATGCAAATTTCTGGATTCGCCCATCTCTAGTAAACAGTGGGAGGATGTTGACCTCACTATTAACCACAATAATTTAGCACACATCTCCTTGTTACAAGTGTTTATTTTAGCCAGAGGAGTTACACAACCAAAAGTTATCATGCCTGAATCAGCACTTTTGCCCCACCATGTCTGATATCCTATACTGGTACAGGCCTGACACATTATTTTACAGATCATGCCTGTTATTCTGGCATGAATCAGTATAAATCTATCATGACTGTATCATGGCTAATTTTTGCAGTTGTATCATGACTGATTACACAAAAACCACAATTACTGGAATGCTCGTTCAATGCCCAGAAGCTACATAATACACTTAAAGGGTAACTGCAATGTATTTATGGTCTTAATGTGATTACCTGACCATAATAATAATGTGTTCCCACTCCTATTGTCCCAATAAATTATTCACTGAGATATGGGCCTTCAAAAAATTCCACTTTTTGCTTCCTTTTAATTTACTTCCTGTCGGTGGGTGCAGCTAAACATGACGTAATTAAGCATAGAAGTAGGAATGTTTGCAGATAACTCCATTCCTTTATAGGGGGGAAATGATCCTTTATTCTCATGCCTTGTAATGTAATAGCACTAACTTAAAGATTGGGATCATTAGCTTTCATTATTCTAAGCATGGAATTGCAAGAAAATGATGCAGAATAGCAAATAAGAAAATTTACATACTTTTGGAATTTTGACTTTTTCTTGCAGTTACATGCTTAAAATAATGAAAGCTAATGATTTCAATCTTTAAATTACAGCTATTACATTACAAGGCATGACAATAAAAGGTCATTTCCCAATACAAAGAATAGTCAGGCGGAGCCTGCTTCTCGTGGGAAAACGGAGAGTCAGGTTCAGTATGGCAGCTAGTTTTGTGTCACAGGGTGGGGCTGGCAGCATGCATACAGGTGGGGCTGAAAATGAGCACCACCCATACTCTTGTAAACATGGTTGTTGTTGTGTTTAGGCTGTCAGAAAGACTTGAGCATACTCAGCACAGAAAAAAAACAGAGGTGATCCATTAGCAGAAAGGTGCAGAGACGTTATAGATGCTTGGAGGAAGCAGTTATGGACCAAGTTGCAGTGATTTTGACTTAGACAAACTAAAAACAAATTTTGTCGCCAGTGTGTATCAGTTTTTTCAAGACTGAAGAAGCTAAAAAGTAGTGCTTTACAATGTTAGAGATACAGTAAGAGCTTTGGTAGACTCTGGTGCACTTACTGATGCTAATGATGTACAGGCAACTGAGGCAAGGCCAAAAAGAAGAGAAAATCCACTTTCCATAGCGAGTGGGTAGCACTATGAAAACATCTCTTGCTTTGAGGAAAGCTTTGATAGCAAGCAACTGCTTCTCCTTTAATATATAGTTCAGCTTTCTAGATGCTATTTCGAGCACAATTTCTTACTTTACATCCATTTTAAATTTATGATATTGTTATTCATGGCCTTTGTGGGTGTTATTTGTCATTGTGGCTCATTTCCTGCTAGCGCACAAATCCTGCGCTTCACACAAAACTAGCTACCATACTGAGCCTGACTCTCAGTTTAGAGAGGCAGGCCCCGCCAGACTATATATATAAAGGAATGGAGTTATCTGAAGCCACACCCACCAACAGGAAATGAATTGACAGGAAGCAAAAAGTGCAATTTTTGAAGGCCCATATCTCAGTGAATAATTTTTTAGGACAATAGAAGTTGGAACTCAATCAACACATAATTATTATGGTCAGGTAATCTTAAGACCATAAAATAAATACCCAAAAATACATGTACATTGCAGTTACGCTTTAATAGTAAATGCATGAAGAATTAATTAAATAGACCAGAAGAAAGGGTTCAGCCAATAAGCCATGCTATATTGCTGTGCTGTATGACGTACAGGGATATGAGCAAGGACAGCATTATTGAATATATGCATTTATATATATTATATATCTCATTAATGAGATTCATGAACATACATTTGTATATAACATGCTGATATGGGGTCAATACACCCTCCACCTTGGGTACTTTGAATTGATATCACCCTTGGGCATTTTGGCCCTCAGGTGATATCAATTCAAAGTATCCTTGGTCGCGGAATATTGACTCCCATATTGTCAAGCTATATATAACACATACGTGTATATAAAGTAGATCTTTAATTCTTGATGTAGTTATCTTACTTAAAAATATAAATTTTGCTATATCATTTCATCACATTGTGCAGCAATTAAAGTTATTTCGCTTATAGCATTAAAGAGTATCTATGAAGATAAATAGCAGTAACAGCACTGAGTCATAATTTGAGTGGTTCTGCAGGCTTCACGAGCTAGTTGAGGCTGTCATTTCACATCAGAATCTTTCGCATAAATAAAGAAGATTTTTGTTAACCCTCCTTGCTGCTGGAGAAGTTTTAAGATGGCAGTTTAGTCTTATCTTACTCCAATGAGAGTCCACAGGCTTGGTGACAGCCGCCATCATAGATATTAGAGTAAATGAAAGGGATTGGAAACGGGGCGCAGCAACAGGAAAATGCGAGTTGATAGTACCATAAAAAACCTCTCTGATTACTCGTATATAAAATTAAAAATGGCTGAAAGTTGAAGCAGGTAAGCATACTTCTTAGGTAGTTTTTTGTTGCATAAAGTCTTCTTTGTACAGGTAACCCTTCAATAATGTTGAGAAACATTCTTCCTATTTGCTCAAGATGTCTGCTGTAGCAATGTATCTGTTTGCAGTTTAAATTCGATGTTTTATGAATTAGTAATCATGATTGATCACACTTACTATATTTAATTCTATATTTTGTTTTGTACAACCTATTGAATAGAAATGGTGTCGGCAACCTCTGGTGTGCTGTAACTATTACAATGGTGTGATAGCTATATACATGTAATGTCACAGACCCTTTGGTTTTTATGTTAAGGGTACAAAACAAATGTCTCAAACTTATCAGTAAATTGATCATTACAGAAAGACGTAATCATTTTTGCAAACAAACTATAGTGGGCGACCTCCACATTTGGGTACTCTAATTAATGATTAAATCATTTACTATCATCTGTCTATCACTCTTGAGATAAGGGTACAAAACAAAATGTTGTTAAAACCATTCACATATGTCAGAGCAAATAATCAGTGCAAATGATGATGCTAGCTACATGTACATATAAAATTGTCTGGGAATAGATTCATGTCTCCTCTGCTTCCTTTGATATAAATAATGGCGTATACTGATACCACTGCTGGAATGACAGGTGTCAAAAGGACAGTTTTTGCTCCAAGACAGCCCCCGTTGCTAGATGCAAATGTCAACCCACATCTGTCTCCTAGCAATGTATAATAAGATGCCCATTTCCGATCCCTTTCATTTACTCTAATATCTATGCCGCCATTTTGTCATTGTGACCACACCCACTTTCAATGATGATTAGGCTATGTAACTTTAATAATAGTTAGACGACCCTATGCCCATACATACATACAGATAAACTTTTTCTCATGTTTAAGAGTCTCCAGGACTTTATAAGAAAGCAGTTTACGGACTTCAAGTGAACACACACTGATAAGATGGCCACTTTAACCTCGCTTTTTCATGCTTATGCATGCGTCACATAGTCTCAATCAACAAAGTATGGAGTACATGTACATGTACATTGTATCATACACATGAACTGTAGGACTACAAAAGCACTTTTATTTCAACTCAAGCAAAGTATTTAATGCATAAAGAACATATGAAGATTACCGTATAGCTAGAAAATTTGGTGGAGTAAAACTTTGGCAAATTTAGCGAATTAAGGTCCATTCGCCAAATTTTAGCACTCCAAAATATTTTCTAGCTACACGATAGTTATATATGTACATATACTTCACAACTTTAACAGATAATTACAAGTATAATGATTTTAAGGGAATCTTAATTTTCCCAAATCTTCAAAGAAATGAACAAAAATATACATGTACATGTATGTAGCTAGCATACATGTACATGTACATGAGTGGTTTCATGCACAGCCACACACATTAAAGCAATGCACATTTCCATACATGCACAATAAGATTTGCTAATAGGAGTTGCAGTGGCTGTGCACTTTACCAAAGTTTTACAATATTAAAGACCATATACATGTACATGTAAACTATTGCTTTATTGAAGACTGATATGACCACAATACTCTTGTTATTAACTTTTACACTTACATCATAAGGCACTCTTCCAAATTACATAAGAGACCAGGAACTTCACATTACAAAGTTTTACATTCTAAGTTCTAACATGCAGGGCTTCGTACAACAATGTACATACATTATTTTCCCCTGATCTACACATAACTAAAAACCTATTTTAGAGCTGACCTACTCCAGGTGCCGGTACAGTGTTGTTTGGTGGTGATCCTTCTCCTTCACTATCAGATATCTCAGAATCTGTGTGATGGTAGTTTTGTACCCCAGGAATGAAAGCCATCTTGGTTTTCAGGGGTGTGTCGAGGTGTGGTTTTTAAAATAATCGAGCTAATTATTTTGATCTATTACGGCATGATTACGGTTCGTTTCTCGCTTTCGACGGTGACGCCCTTCTTGGCCCCACACACACACGCATTGATCAAATAGTTGTGTGAAATGGCCACTCTTGATGATGTTAACAAGCAGAAGGCTATCCATTTGACTATTACAGAATCTTATGCCAGATCCTGGGACACTTGGGAAGGTGTTCGTGAGTTTATACAAAATTGGTATGATGGAGTTTTGGATAGCTTTGAAACAGTCTCTCCTGCTCCTACTAGTTCTAGAAGAACACTTAAGATAGAACCAGTGAGTTGTTATGAAATATTGAAGGAAACATGTTGACCTTACAATGATTTTGGGTGAATGTAGTACACCGGTACGAGTTAGAATACTATTTTAGCATACTTCACTCTACCCTTAGATTCAAATATTTTAAGCCAGAAAATGAGGGTATGTTGCTTTTCCTCCATGTACATGTATGTGAATAAGGTAGCTCACTGCTCATTGTATTGTACGTTACGTTAGCGAAGTCAGCAGCAGCATATTTACAAAGCTCCCTTTTCATTCAGCTTTATGATGCACTATTCTGTTCACTGCACTTCAATAAATTATTTGCTGGTAAAAAACCACATCTGTATGTGTTTGAATTTTGCTTTTTTATAAAAAATTTTAAAACTTTATTTACTTGTATATGTTTAAAACTTGAGAAAAGCTTAAATGAGCAACTTCACTTTCCTAAGTAATCATGTACGTTACATGTGTATGAATCAATTTTTGGAGCTTTTTTGGAATAAAATTTGCCTAATACGTACACTATATAGAGATAGTCTGGTACTGTATATGATGCTCACTTTTTTAATGTCAGGTTCTCTCATATCAGAAGCTTGTAGCTACTACGATTTTTTACTCTCTTAACTTGGACTTTGAATTAAGTTATTAGAATTTACAAATTTAAATATTGGTATTGATTGTTCCCCTTAGCTAAAATCGTAACATGCATGTTTAGACTCATTAGTCTCGCATATCCAGCCCCTCCCTGGCTATGCAGAACTACACGTAATAGCACATTATAATACGCTCTGCAGTGTACATGTGCATATTCATGACTTTGTTATTATATTCATTGGGATACCATAAATAAAAAATGAGGATTATGGCTTATCACATGTACATGCATGTTGCTCTAACAAGATTTTTTACTTGGCAAATTTTCTTTGTTGTGATTGAGTAGGTATGGACATTACACACTTTTACATATACATGTACCAACACAAGTATTTGCAAGCCAGTCATTATAAAGCTTTTAATTGCAACATAGATATACATGTAATACACATAATGCACAGAACAGGATTGGAATCAAGATTACATGTACGTGCACATCATGCGTGCCATTCTAATTTGCTGCGATAGAGGTTGGTGATTAGAAGTATTGAAATTCCTTGTGGGACTCTCCAGACACTGTCTAGTGCAATGTAGTTTTACAATAACAAATGTAAGTATTGGCTTCTTTCTTACCATGTTACCATCCCACACTACACTATGCTGTTTGTAAGGACTGCGTAAGATAGTTTCAATCCTGGATTATGGCCTTTTTGTTTTAATATACCATAGTGTACTTTTTGCAAGCACTAATAAATACCACAATTCACTGGAAATTCTGAAGAAGTGATGACAAAAGCTCATACTAACTTGTCTTGCCACCCGTTGTACTTGCTAGAGCCCCACAAACTTTTTGAAAAGGGACAGTCAGGACCTCTAGCAATAATAAAGTACATGTAGCTGCCTTGGGCACACAATGCCCTCACTTGATCCTGTGTATAATCCTATTCCCTACTGTATAGCTCTAAATTTTTTTGTTTGTCAAAATTTTTGTCAATTTTGACGAAGTTTTTAACAAACAAAAGTTTTGTTCCACGCAGGTAGTATGTGGATTAATAAAAAAATCACAAAAATTTTATCGATGAAAATTAATTTTAACAGGAAATTAAGATTTTGACGAAATTTTTGACTCACCAAAATTTGGAGCTACATGTACAGCACACATCAAAAAGGCTTAGTAAGGTACAGTAGAGAAGAGAACCTTGAAGGTAGTTCGTAGGTACTTTGCTACTACTTCACTACTCTTAGTTACTCTTTGCTGCGTTATGCTGCAATCCCACCCAGTCATATGTACTGTAGTAGAACTTGTGGATGCTTCTTTTGGCTGTCTGTGCTCTCCAAGTTCATCTATAATGCCACTTTCTCCGTCTAGAAGCCGTTTTGGATGTTTTTTGCTCTATTCTACTGTCTTTTACTGTCAATCTACTGTCCTGCTACTGTCACAGTAAGCATGCACAGAGAAGGAACAACGAACTACCTACGTGAAAGTAGAGTAACTGCGGGGTAGCTACTTAGCCTTTTTTGATATGTACACATGTATATGGTATATGCTTGAAAATATTTCTCTTTTTCTTCTTTTGCAATATTATTCATCCTCCAAGTTTTGAACGTTATAAAGATTTGGAAACACATAGAGTACATGGGAATTTAATTCTAATTCCTAAGTGTGCTGTAATAGGGCTAATTTTTACAACCTTTTTCATTTAAAAGCTAAAGTTTCATTCCCTGATACATATGCATGTTCTTATTGTGTGTAGAAAGTTTGAGCAGATTCCAATCAAAATTGGATTTTTTACGAATTTTTAAAGTTGCTCCAAAATTAGGCTAAAGTCCCTGTACTATTACATGTATGGTGTACATGTATATGTAGGTACATACATGTACATGTATATACATGTACACTGTACATGTGCATAGTTTAAACATTTTTAACGATAAGTTGTGCATATACAATACATGTACTGTACATGTGTGTACTTCAGAAATATTCATTTTTGACAATTTGTCATGCACACATGTATAGTTTTTGCATGTTGGCAAAGATAAATCTACATGTACATGTACAATACAAGTACACATGTATGAGTTACACGTACATGTATATGCATTTTTATAACATGAGGGTAAAGCCCACTGAATTTTTTTTACTCTGTATAATTCTACTTACTATGCACATTCTGTTTGAAGATACAAATGTACCCAAGCAAACAGCTCCCCATACCCCCTTTACTCAAAAACTGGCTATGTTTTGACCTTTATAGATTAGTTAGAGAACATTGAGATGCATGTACTATCTGAAGCATTAGAAAGTACAGCAAAGAGAACCTCGATAGACCCCTAGGAGCTAAAACTATTTTAAATGAATATGATTACAATGATGATATTCATTCATAATAAATAATTTTTTCCTATACAGTATCCACCCACAGTGTAAATTACTAACAGCAAGAAGGCCTTATGATCAAAAGAAAATCAAAGGCAGCGACACCACTTGGCCATTTTTCTGTTACTACAGGCTCACAAGCAGCAGTTATGGAAAGTATGTAGGCCAAACTACATCATATAGACCAGGTAACTCTTGCTGCAGCTTGGGCTTTGATCTGCCTTTGATGTCGAGAGTTTCTTGTCGTCAGTAACTTTAATCGTGGATGGCTACCATAAATGATTCGTTGAAAATAGTTTTAGCGCCTTTTGGGTCTACAAGGAAGAAATAAGTATAGCGATCATAGGAATATTTTACACATCTAATTGTACATGCATTTATGTCTGCTTAGTGCTCACTGTGCTACTTTAACAATTTTACAGCTAAAACCAATGTGCAATCTAAAAACATTCTAAAATAAAATTCTATTAGCATTTATACTGTGCATGCATGTTATGTGACCTACAATGTAATTTTGACCAAGTAATAATGTGTACAATAATATGCATCGCCATCAACACATTACACTTGTCTTGATGTTATTAATACATGTACTGTAGGTCTCTTTCTCTCAAAATGTGCTGAGTCAAAAAATATCCACATTTCAAGGTTATATTATGTACATGTGGCTCAAACCTAATTTTTTCATGATAACAAATACCAGAAATACTACAAGTAATTAAATGATGCATGTGCATGTCAATGTCTGTCTATAGTATAAACTACAAAAGTCTCCATCTGCGAGCTTGCTCATGAGAGTGGAAAGAGTGGCAAGGATGATGGTAGGATGAGCTCCGCATAGATGATAGCTCCTAATAAGAGATAACCAAATATGGCAATAAATTCAGTTAAGCACCATAGAATATACATGTAGGACTTGGATCTTAGCGTGATAGATGGTGAGTCTGGATGAAAGATGTTTGTAGAAAGTAGATGCTGATGGACCATTCCTCCTGCAGTTGTAAAAACTAGTGGGGTAAGAAAGGCATCCTCAACATTGCAAATCCATTCACTAATTGGCGTTTTTCAGCCTTCTTGTTTCTTTTATTGGAGGCTTTAATTGATGATTTGTGAGATACTCATGCATTTAAAAAAGATTAGTTGTCTTGATGACAAGAAACTGGACACAGCAATGTCAGCCCTGGCTTTATCATCAGTAATGGCAGACTGTTGGGAAAATTTTTCCCCAGATAAATGCTTGAAGAGTTAGTTCAACTAGAACATCAGGACATATCTCTATTAGAAGGCTTTCTGTTACATGTATGTCTCTGGAGTTCATTGTGTCGCAGAGATGGCAATTAAGCCACTGCATAATTACATGTAAGTGTATGTTCAATTCACAAGCATGATGAGTTGGTAAATGAGGAGGAATCCAGCTGTTGCGAAGACATAAAGCATCACAGAAAGCACCTTTATAGAGCAAAATCATGTTCTTTTATTGGTAGTGCAGTGAGCCTGGAGTAGGCACCAGGCTCACTAGTGGAGGAGGAATCATAGTGAAATTTTAATTTTTCCTTATGACTTCTTAACTTTCTTGAAGAAATATCAGAAATGATATAAGGGATTGATACAGTAGCAGTTTGCTCAGATATAGCATTAATGAGATGAGTGATGATAAATGTACGGACATTATACTGTTGAATAGACTTAGTTGAAGGTTCTCTAATACCAAGACCACTACTCTAACTGGAAGAGATAGAATATACTGCTTGCATCACCATTGCTAAAGAGTTGTGACCTCTATTGTAGTTTTTCCTGGTATCTTATCTATTTGCGTTAGCAAATTTTGGTAGTCCGTAGCCATGACTTGTGTGGTGTGCATGAATGTACATCTATAGTTTTGAAGACTTTTTAAGTAATATTGTTTTTGTAGTTTCATGTTGCAATGACATGTACTTTGTATAATGCATGCCATGATTTCACTGCAGTATGCTTTAACTAGGAATTGAATTGTATTATCTGGATGTCATATTTCTAGCTGACATTTGTCCCACATGTATATGTATGAGGCTGTGACTCCATGTGTAGTACATTAGATTTATCCTTCTGTAGAGAGTAATATTCAACTGTCTCTATTTTTCAGGTTCAGGCAAATGATTTTACTCATTTTGAAGCTAAACTTGTGCAAGGCTCCGAAGCAGAGAATGAAAAAATAACTTTTGGTTCTTTGCATTATGATAAAGATAAAAAAACACTCACACTAATCAATAGAAACACTCAACTTCCAACTAAGGTTTTGCTTCTGGGTTATTCAAGCAAGAGGAATCATCACGATGTTATTGGACAGTTTGGTAAGCTATGTGTAGCTGTCAAGCTTCTGTACAAAATTTATAAGGTGTATGCATGTACCGTATTTCCTTAAATAAAAGCCCGGGCGTCTATTTTCTAAAATGATACTTGGACCTCCAAAAAATATATAAAAGATAAAAAAAACTTTGGCCCAGAGCGGGATTTGAACCCGTGGCCTCAAGCTTTTGACTTCTGGAACTTCAGGCATTGCCCACTAGACTACTGTGTCACTCCTAGGCTGGGGTGGCGTATTTATAGTTTAATTCTATTGCTACCCCGGCGTTTATTCGAATATGGCTTCTATTTAAGGAAATACGGTACATACATGTGCACATGTACATTTTGTGTATATTAAATCTACATGTATATTTTAGGTGAGGGTTTAAAGATTGGAACCTTGGCACTTTTGAGGAAAAAGCATAAAGTGCGCGTTGCTACTCATAATTGCTCGTGGCACTTTTCTCTTGAGAAGCATCCACATTTTGATGAAACTGTTTTGACTGTTACACTTGAAGGTAAATGCATTCTACTCTGTAATTTAGATGTACAGTACAATGTACCCTTGTAACTGATTTTTATAATGTACTGTTTGCATCTAAATTGACCTTTAATGATATTTTTTATTTTACTAAGCAGACCACACTCCTGCATGTACATGAATAGCTGTCTTCATAAAACATAAGCATGAGCTACATGTACATGTTACTGTATCTCCATTGTACATGTACATNGTACATAATTGCTTTTTACTAAAATTTGTTCAGTTCTTTTCTTATTGGCCTCGCCAGCAATTAGCATGGGTGAGGAGACTACATGTTTGTAGTTAAGTCTGGTGTCTGTCATTCCTTCATTCATTCATTCTGTCTGCCATAACTCTCACTTTGAGCCTGAGGCTCTGTAGTTATTGAAGGGGCTCTCCTACAGTCACTAAAGTTATTTTCTACTACTTGATCAGGCATAAATGACAGTAGAAGACACCAAAGCCATCAATCTTGCCAAATGGAGCAGGTTTTGATTTTAGTGCTTCAAGTAACAGGGCTTCATTGTATTTCTAGAGAATCACAGAAACTTTATCTTAAAAAAAGTCGTAGTGTTTTGCTGGAACTGTGTTTGTTTTGAAGATACAGTGCATGTATGTTTGCCTAAAATCATTTACATGTACCTCTTGAATTTACACAATGTACTTCTCCTTTGTAAGAGTAGCTAAGGCCTATAAACTTCAGACACTTGACAAGAGTCGGTATGCAACAAGTAGAGCCTAATAAATGTTTGTGTGCACTGAGTAGAAGTCCAAGAAACTCAAGCTTCTTCTAGCAGTTAGTCCAAGAGACACAATTTTACTCTAGCAATCAAGATTTGACACTTTCTCTGTTCTGTAACAACTGCATGCCATCAGTTTGTAGTCATAACCGAACACCTTCACATCTTAATTAGACCATGAAGAAACTATATATTGCATGGCACTTTATTTTCAAAGAACAAAACTTCTGCCATTTTTATGGGTTAGCACGCAACCGCAAAATTAAAGATCCGCTAAAATTTCAAATTGCCATTAAAGGCATAGTACTAACTTTGTGAATCTGATAAAGTTATTTCTGTGAAAAATTTATTTTATCAATCATAGAAATTTTAGCTCCGCAAATTAAATCGCCATACGGTAGCAATCCGTGTTGGTAATATGTAGGACCAAGCTGTTTACTTTTTTAAAAACAGGTGTATGCAATACTAAGCATACGCGCTATAGTATTGCAAAATATAGGCAGGTTAGATGCCCTCCCTTAATAATTTTCTACTCTTGGTAGGGCAAATTAGTTTTGAAATCATGAATGTAAAACAATTTTTTTCTTCGTTTTGGCGAGGCCAATGCACTAACGGTTGTCTTGTATAAGCCATGCAAGCTACTCGTACTACATGTACAGTACCGCTCAGCTATAATTTTACTTATCGTACACGACATGGGTGCAGCATGCCCACGGACTCAACCTGCACTAGTGCCTGTATCGTCTACATGTACTTATCATGTACATCATATATTTTCAATGCACATGTACTTATCACGTTTGTGGTGCACTAGTGTAGTTATTGCACTAGTAGCAAACGCAGATAGTCTTGGAGATCATGCATTTAAAAGTAAGGTTATAGCTGAGTGGTACTGTACATGTACAGTAAGTATACATGTGGATCCAAGTCTGATACAGTTCAGCTAGCTGCTGTATTTTTAAGAAGGAAATGGCACATGCATGTGTAATTTTTTTAAGATCACATACGTGTATTTCAGTAATCATGTAATTGCAATAAGATAGAGCATATTGTTTAATTTTAGCTTCTTTGGCTGCATAACTATGTGTATAGTCAAGTTATTCTAGTGATAGTTTCCAAACAATAGTACATACAGCTTATAACAGAAATACTCTAAGCTTTTGAATCAAGATAAGTTAGATTTATATGTATATGCGTACATGTGTTTTAATTTTGAAGCCTATTAAAACGTAAACTACATGTGCAGTTTATGTACATTTATATATGTCAGTTATCGCAACTGTCACTTTGAGGTTTTGTGGTTTTAGCCAAATGTATTATGGTGATGTATGGTAATGTAATGTAATTTATGGTGTAGTTTTGATGCATACAGTTTATTGATGACTTTTTTACCTTTAGATATCCAAGAAGATTTTCAAACTTTTACTGCTGCATTCAGGTAGTAGTGATGCATGCACTGTACCATGTACATGTATCTTATGCTAATTTACAGTACCTGTATACAGTCTTACATTTTTATGCATGTGCATGTACATGTACAGTACATATCAAAAAAAGGCTAAGTACATGTAGCTATCCCGCAGTTACTCTACTTTTGCGTAGGTAGTTCGTTGCTCCTTCTCTGCGCATGCTTACTGCGACAGTAGCGCGACAGTAGAAGACAGTAGCATGACAGTAGAAGACAGTAGCGTGATAGTAGAATCAAGCAAAAACATCCTAAACAGGCTTCTAGAAGGAGAGAGTGGCATTATAGATGAACTTGGAGAACACAGACAGCCAAAGAACCATCTACAAGTTCTACTACAGTACATATGACTGAGTGGGATTGCAGCATAACACAGCAGAGTAATGAAGAGTAGCAAAGTAGTAGCGAAGTACCTACAAACTACCTTCAAGGTAATTCTCTTCTCTACTGTACCCTGCTTAGCCTTTTTTATGTGTACTGTACTGTACGTACATTTACATGTACATTTGTGTATGTCAGTCAGTGTAGTAGTGTCAGTATACCAGCAGATGTACATGTACATGTAGATGGTTACTGTACTTCTTGCTGTCATTTTTTTTATCTTTATGCATGTTGAACTCATTTACCTGTACTCTGTAGAGTTTCATATTTGTCAAACTTTTCATTGTGATTTGTGGAAATAATTGTTTTTATGAATAAAGGATTGAACAACACCTTCAGTTTTGTTTTCGTGGCAGTGTATGCTACTGCTAATGTTTCACAAAATGGTACACACTGCATATACATGTATAGCTTTGACTACTGTATAGCAGATATATTTCGTCTGGAAAAATGTTCGTTCTAGCATGGTTCTAGAAATTTTCGTTCTGACCAGCCATTTTGTACACGTGGCATTGAGAAAACGCCCTTTTCGTTTTAAAAATGTTTGTTCTACAAGGAATGAGAACAAAAAGAACAAAATTAAACTCGAACGGAATATACCTGCTATATGGTATCCACTTTATTTTGGGCTAAAGTTTCATTTGGCTATTGCACTTTTTTGTTGCAGGTGCATGTACAGTATGTGTATCTATAGTACCATGTACCATATAGCAAAAAAAATTTTGAGGGCTACAAATTTTGCAAATTTGCCTAAAATGTATTTTGCAGATTTTTTCATAAATTTATGCCATCTGCCATCTTGTGGCCCTAATAATTTGATTTTTGTGGAAGTAATTTCCACAAACCTTCAAGAAATCATGTTGAAATCCACTAAATTTACTGTCAGCGCTCAAAAGTTTTGCGCTATATGGTGGCAGGTACATGTATATTTCATCAGAGTTTAATTTGCTTCTTTCTTCTCATTTCTTATGGAATGAGTATTTTGTAAACGAAATTATACTATGTCCCAACTGAGAATGGACCGGAAGTGGAAGCAGCTGCATTGGAATTTGAAAAATGTATCTACGACACTAATGACGTATTATAATGATATTCATAGAGACATGGCCGATATTTTGGCTATCTTGTTTCACTCTTAAAACAGTCTTGCTCTTCCTGATAAGCAGTACAATAGCTACTGGAGTCAACTAGTCTTCATAAAGGCCATCATTATCAGAAGATCTCGCTCTGTTAGCTTTTTAAAAGAAGAATTATCAGTTTGGGCGCTCGACCACATGTGCTTATGTAAACTGTGACATCATAGAACATCATTGCGGTTAGCTTTGGTATGCCATTGGGTTTATAGAGAGAACCCAGTTCTCAGGGTTCCCGAGGGCTGAGAGACCCAAGACCTGAGATCCTGAAGCGGCATTGGGCGACTAAGAACCTGTGAAAGTCTCATCCTTATCCCACATTCCCTTAAAAAGTTATTCCAGTTTTTCTTGGTCCAAACTCAGTTGGGACATAGTATATAAATAGACGTGAATGCAGTGTCATATGGACGTGCAAAAATAAAAACAGAACGAATGAAAATCATTAATCCTTTCTAAACAAACATTTTCCCTGATGAAATTCGCCCTATATATGGTACCTTTTGCTGACTTTAAGTGCATGTGTATCGAAGAAGTGCAACAGAGCAAAAATTTCTTGTCTAGGAGTTGAAGCCTGAAAGGCGTTGGAGGGATCTACATTTATATGTTTAGTGACAAATGAAGCCATTTTTGTCTGAGAATGTTGGGTTGCTTTTGTTTATCACTTGTAGGTAAACAAACATTTTAAAAATTGAAATTAAGTATACACTTGTATTATAATTTTAGTTAAGCCATAAGTATTGCCATCAATTTAGATGCACAATACATATGTACATTATATGTACATGTTAAATAATGAATTTTGAGGGGAACAGCTGTGAAGCTTCTACATAAATTATTTGTTGAATTCAGAGAAATTTTCCACTGCCATGGCATCATTAAGGTCAATCACACTAACCTGGCTATTGGTACATGTCTTAG